CAAGGCCGTGAGTACAGATCACTCTTTTTTGCTCGAGGGACAAGCAAAGAAATGGGGTGGTGATCGGGGTTCGGAAGCAGGGAGAGTTTTGTGCATTTGGGGGTGATAGTCCGTGCGTTCATTGCTTTGTTTGGTCGTGGAGACCGTTCGTTCGTCGCGTCCTGAGGCCTTGGCTGCTGATGGGTCCGGGGCCTGAAGGCTCGGTTGGGGGAGCAAAGAAAGTGGGCCAGAAAGCAATTTGAGACCGTCTGTACTTGATTGTTCCATTGAGTAATTCAAATACTATTGGCAAAAGGAGCCTTGGTGGCCTCGTAAGGTTAAGCATTGGGCGGTTACCCATAAAGCTGATGCCCGTGGCTTCCTTGAAGATTCCGTTCGACTCGGAGTCAGAATCAACTCCCCCACCGTGTTCAGGGGGAGCTGGAAACTCAGAGGTCCCCAAGGCCCCGCTTTCGTTGCTTGCCCATTCAGCGTTCGCTGGTTGGTGGCCCCTTCTTGTTTCCTGTTGTGCACAGTGGTGGGTCAAGTGCAAGGTGCGCCTACGGCGGCCTGGAATTTGGCATTTCAGGGTTCTCTTCCGCGGATTCTCTGACGTTCAAAGATGGCGCCTGTTCCCAGTGTCTAAGGAACTGGCAGGAGTCCCAATGATGGTGCACTGGCTTAAGCGCTCGGCTGTTCTTTGGAAGGTCAGCAGTTCTAACCCACCAGCTGCTGTGTGTTCCCGAAATGATTTATGGTCTTGGAAGTCCTATAGAGCTGTTCTACTCTGCCCTATAGGGTCCATATGAGTCAGAATAAATTCAACCGCAGTGGGTAAATCACCAGAATGCTCCTTGATAGTGACAATGGCAAAACTCATGTGATTTGGATATGTTATCATGAGGGGCCAATCCCTGGAGAAGGGTCCCCCAAAATATCAAACCTACTGCCATCAAGTCAATTTTGAGCCACAGTGATCCTATATAGGGCATGGACAACTTTATCTCCCATGGAGCTGCTGGTGGCTTTGAACTGCGCCGACATTGTGCTTAGCAATCCAACCCTCAACAGCACCACCAGGGCATGCTGGGTAGAGGGTCAGCGCAAAGAGAGAAAGCCCATCAATGAGATGAACTGACACAGTGGTTGCAATAGTGTGCTCAAATATAGCAACGGTTGGGAGGGTGGTATAGGAACAGGCAAGGTTTTGTGAGGTTTGTTAGGATTTGGAACTAACCCAACTTGAGAACCTCACAGCAACAAAATGGCTGCCTGGCTGGCCGCCATGTTTCTGTTTAGTAGGATGGCCCAGGAGCTCACTAGTGGTAGAAATTGTTCCTGGTTCCTCTTCCTCCTCTGAATTTATGTCCCCGCCCCTTTGCTCCTTATACAGATCTCCAGATACAACTTGAAAAATCAGTAGAGGCAAAAATGCTGGAGAAAATCTATTTCTGTCTGGTATAATGTATATTGTACACATGTATGTGTTGGCTTTGATGGTAGTATGTATCTGACAAGACAGATGGGGGGTGATTTGGGTGGTGTGAAGGGGGTGTGTATGTGGGTGGGAGGGGAGATGGTAATTGGTGAGTGCTGTGTAGGCCTTAAGGAGCCCTAGTGGTGCTGCTGGGTAAGCACTGGCCTGCTAACTGCAAGGTTGGTGGTTCAAACCCACCAGCCTCTCCACAGGAGAAAAGTAAGGCTCTCTGCACCAGTAAAAGTTTACAAACTTGGAAAACCTGTATAAGGTTGCGATCAGTTGGAATCTACTCAATGGCGGTGGGTGGGGTTTGGGGATGGCGTCTGAAGGAGCCCTAGTGGCACAGTGTGTTAAGCATTTGGATGTTAGCAGAAAGGTTTGTGGTACGAACCATCCAGCTGTTCACAGGAAAGAGAAGTCAGTCGGCTTCTATAAAGATATACAGCCTCGGAAACTATGGAGCAGTTCTACTCTGCCCTATAGGGTTCCCACGAGGCCTCATAAACTGGTTAGGTTTGGGCCAGCGATGGAACATGTTGGGCTTATTCTTCATTGCAAGGGAGAATGCACCCTATGGATTAAAGGTGTTCTCAATAAGGTATGACATCTGTAGGTACCCAATGTTAAGGGGAAAAAAAAGACAAGAGAAAGGTTTTTCACACCCAAATGAACAGCCTTTGATGGTTACCAGGGGTGAGAGGTCAAAGGAGGCAAAGGGAAGCACTAGGTGAGAACATCTGTTCCCAAGCTTATTTGGCCTACCCCCCTCCCCCATTCCCAGAAGAGAAATGACTCAGTGACCCCACCCCTCGCAACGAAAACCTTTTGTATGATAGCCCATAAGACAGGATAAAGTGCAACTATCTGCTTTTGTGCCCCCCCCCCCACCCGGATTATTAGAGTGCCCCCAGGGAGCAGAGCGGTACCACTCACTTTGGGAAGCACTGGTCTAGAGGTTGACACACGTTAACCAGGGTGAAGGGGGGAGACACGGGTCTAGAAGAGGGAGAAAAGGGGAAAGGGAGGGGGTGGGGAACAGGAAAGCTATTGCGAGATTTGATATGGTTTCAATTGATGAATGGAAATATGATGATCTGAAATGTAAGGCGCCACCTAACGCCCGAGACAAGGTCAAACAAGCAAGCATGTTTACGTGCTGTCCTTAGCCTCAGATCCTCCTGTGACCCCTTTCTACCTCTGGACATGTATCAAGAACTTGTAGCTAGAGAACAAGGCAGGGTGGGCCTGGAGCCCCGTATAAAACAGCATAGAAGCTTGCCTAGATCTGGGAGCAGATGAGATCTGGGGGTGGGGTGGGTAACCAGTGAACCAGGGAGAGTTGCAGAATAGACATAATGCCCACTTGATGATGACCCCAAAGGGAGCTATCATGCAGGACAGTCTGCTTACTTCTCTAAGCCTTATATATAATACTGTATAGCTATTGCATACAGCATCCTTTCTTTGGGTCATGACGCTCATCAAGGACCCTGGCCCTTCCCCTCCCCCCATCAAGAATGTCAGCATTTAATGATCAACTGACATGTTCTTAGGCCCTTCTAGCTGGAATTAGGTCGTAGAAGACTGGATTGGATGGAAAATTTACAATCGATCCTCAATTGATGATCTGGCTGATAGCAACAATGGCCCTAAATCCAAGTCACACTTGTCTGGTCCCTTCTGGCTCACAGTGACACTGCAGGACAGAGTCGAGCTGCCCCCTAGCGTTTCAAAGCTGTAATCATCATGGAATCAGATTACTACATCTTTTCAAATTGCTGACCTTTCTGTTCCCAGCCAAATGCTTTAACCCCTATGTCACCAAGGAACACAGAGGCAGGTCGTACTCCCATGACACAGACTCATGGGAATTTGATAGGCACTTGGTGGCGCTGTTGGGTAAGTGTTAGTCTATTGACCACAAGGTTGGTGGTTCAAACTCACCAGTGTCTCTGTAGGAGAAAGTTGAGGCTGTCTGCTTCTGAAAAGATGAACATACAGCCTCCAAAGCGCTCTCTAGGGTTACTATGAATTGGAATTGACTTGGTGGCACTGGATTTTGATTGGTTGCTTCCTATTTTTGACTCTTTAAAGCAATAATGTGATACATGTTCTTTTACGGTTCTTTGTTTTAGCTTTTAAGTGTTCAGTGGATATTTGTGTAGAATGAATAAAAGACTGCCAACAGATTCCAATGTTTGCTGTGATGGCATGCACTACCTTTGTGAGAAGAGACAAATGATGTTTTGTCACATCTGTGACAAGAGAATTGTCACAGATGAATGTCAAGAGAGTGTATATTTTTAGTTCTCATCGAAGTCCTACTCCTTTATTTTTTTATCATCATTGAGACTATCCACAGCAAAACAAGCACCAATTGAACCATGAATCCATCCAATTCGATGAGCCTGATTCCAGTCGTCAAGTGTTCTCCCCCTCCCTTTCTCTTCACGCAAAGCCACTGCCACCCTAAGCTTCCTATCTAACCGTTCCTTGTAGAAGGGTGACCCCCTATTGAAAGAATACAATGCTTAAGGCGGGATTTCATTTAATTAATTAATTAATCAATTAATTAATCAATTAATAATTTATTAGGTGCTCATACAACTGTTATCACCATCCATCCATCCATCAATTTTGTAAAGCACATTTGTGCATTCATTGCCCTCATCATTCTCAAAGCATTTGCTCTCCACTTAAGCCCGTGGTATTTTTAACTAATTAAAGTAAACTATGGTCTGGTTTAGGGAATTGTTCAGAGTATTCTTTTGGTTTAGGATTTGAGATGTAATGGTGATCTTGGGGCAGATTTTTTGGGGGGGTGTGTTCATGTGATAAGTAATCTTGCTTTTTTTCTGACCAAGTGTGAGCATAGCTACAGGGTAGAGTGCTGCAGTGATGCTACTGAATTGAAGGTACGTACATTTAAAAGTTCAATAGACATTGTCCCATTGTGCGTCAGAGAGCTGGAGCAATTTATGCTCACGGTGTGTGAGAGTCCCCGTTTACCCCACTTTCACCAGCAATGGCTAATTATCAAATAGAACTTTTGGACGATCTGATAAATGAAAACTTGAACTGTTGTGGGTATAGATTTCTTGAATGATGAATGGGACTGAACCTCTATTGGCGTATAAACAATAGCCAATACATTTCATTTTACCTAAACCGCCTGCTGCCGAGGCACACAGGATGGTGCGCAGCTGAGCAGGGAAATGGTGGGACTTGGAACCCCCCAGGTGCTCCATAGCATTTCCGGCCTAGAAAACATGATGGAGCACTTCTGGTGTGCCCTCTAGGGTCGCTCTGAGTCTCGGTCCACTCCAGGGTAATGGTTTTTGGTTTGGTTTAGGGGGGCCTGCTCTATCCTTTGCCCCCTTTTAGATCAACTTAAGTTTTTTTTTAAGTTGTATCTTATGACCTCCTGGTCAATGCAGAAAATTGGCCCCGAATCTGTCACATGTCCTTTAAGGACTATTTCCCAGTTTGTCACTCTTCTGTTGACTCTTTCCTTTTTTTGGGGGGTGGGGGCGAAAATTGTACCTTTTTATGTATTCAAGTACCTCCACCTCTTTCTTTTTGGAACTGAATGTAGATCAAGACTAATATAGTCTCCCTGAACCTCCAGAATTAATGAGCCCCAACATAGAACAATTGGTGAGGCTACTCGCATGCATTTTAAAAATATAGAATCTTGAGATCTAACGAGTGCGCCACAAAATGCAGCCACTTGAAGTTTACATTTAAATTGTACAACTCAGTGGTGATGAATATGACAAACATTCGGACTTCCAGAAGAAGGAGATGGATAGCTAGAATGCTCCTTTCCCAGAGAAAGACAGCAGGCTGGGTCAAGTAGCGGGTCCATGGAAAGGTAGAAGACCCTCCAGGAGTTTGGCAGATGTGGAGCCACCTTCTGTTCTGCTCAGAGGTTGGGCTGCTGTGAGTGGGTGCCAACAGCACCGCCTTTCATCATGGAAGAATCTAGCTGGGGGAGAAGCGATGGTGGTTTTATGCCCTGCACATCAAACTATCCTTTGCCATTTCAGTGGTTCTACTATGGCTCACTCCCTGAGTGAAATCCCGGACCCCCTGGATGTCGTGGAGACCAGTGATGAAGGTAAGTAGTCCGTTACATGATTGATCACTAGGATTAGATTTGTCTACTAGGCTTAGCCTTTAGGGAAAAGAACCAAGGCACCCGAAAAAGCAGGCTCATAGAAAATGTCTAGAACCATTAGAGATGGGATCTAGCTCCAATTCTGATTGTGAAAAGATTAATCTGAAATCACACTGTTCTTTGGGGTGACTGCCAGGTTTGACTTACTAAGGCAATAGATATATGTTTGCTTAATCAGGCGGAAGGGGGGGAGGCAGAATAAACTATGATATGAGAGATCCAACTGAGATTTCACTGTAGATAGAAGTCTAGATTTTAATAATAGGTGCATTGGTGATTTGAGGTGTAATGGGGTAATAGAACAGAAGATGTCACCACAGGCTTCTGTTACCTTCTATTCCATTTATAAACATTCTCTTTGGAAAAACAAATTCAGAAGGTATGCCCAGTGCATAAATTGTGCTCTCACCAATAAGTGATAGGTGACTGTGAGTGGAATAATCGAAAAAGGAGGCAGAAGTAGTTAAATGATGATTGACTTCATTGACACCCCCCCCCCCTACACACACACATACATACACACTAATACAGAAGAGGAAATCTGGGCATAAAAGGCGACATTGAGTTTAAAGACAGAAGTGAATCGAACAGTTCATGGAGTTGTCTAATTGGAAGCAGTTTTCTTTAGTTGTGTATTTTGGGAAGTTCAGAGACAAAAAGTGAGACTTCCTGATGGCTCCTTGCTGGTGGCCTGATTTCATTGATATGTGAGGTGGAGATAGGGATCTAGGTGACCCTGAGGGCACCTTCATCTCTGTGTCATCATCATTTTGTGTCACTCTCAGACTAATTGTGCCCTCACACACTTTTAATAAGTGAAGAAATGAGTACCTCTCCACCAAGGGAGGCTCCACGGCCAAACCATATGTCCTTTCTCTCTGAAGATCAGGGAGACAGGCCTATCAAAGAAGGTGGCCGTGCAGGCTATATTGAGGAAGAGTACAGGTAAGAAAATGCCTTTATTCATAACTTTTTCAAGAGAGGCAGTGATTTGAGTCCAGGGTTGGAACGAGTCAGTGTTAGCCCGAGACTCATGTGGCTGTTGGGAGGCTGAAGGTAAGAAAGGCTACTTAGAAAGGTGCTCTTTGCCAAAACATCGTTAGCAGGCTGCTCAAACTCCATCCAGATGGGCAGCCTGTGTCCATAAGAAAATAGACAGCCCAAACACAAGGATGCCTTTACTAGAATGAGCAGTGATTTTCTTCTCGGGGGTGGGGGGTGGGAGCTAGGAAACCTGCTTTCTGGCACGGGACACACTGAAGGCTCTCGTAGGATGCAGCTGTTGAATGAACACCCAAACATTACTATTATTGCTATAAAGATACTTTTGTCTATCTGGAGGTACTTCTTTAAGGGTGTTTTCTTTCAAATGCATGGAAATGAAGATTCTAAGACAAACATTTGACTACTAACTGATCTGAAATAGGAAAGGTACCCAATTTTTAGACAGACTTAGGATTAGAATCCGTTTGTAATGTGGAGACTTGCCTGTAATTGATTTATGTCAGCTCCGCAAGGGCGGAGATCACCCTCTACTTCACGTGGGATGCATCTCCCCCAGTGCCTAGAATGGGCCTGGAACAGGGTCTACAAACTCCACACTCACTGCCTCAAGTCCTTTCTGACTCTTAGCGACTCCATAGGTCAGGGCAAAACTGCTCCTGCGGGTTTCTGAGACTGCAACTGTTTATATTGTGGGGTATCATGTGGGTTACCCATTTACAGGTGACTTCTATACACATTGCTGGCTACAAATGTGGGTTTTGACAAAGATCCTCCACCACTCCCTCCCTCCTCCCCTTGCTCCCTCCTTCCGTCCACTCTTCCCTGCCTCCATCACTTCCTCCCTCCATCCCTAGTTCCCTAACCTCATACCCTGGAGCAGGTGGTGGGTTTGAATTGCTGACCTTTTCGGTGGTTAGCATCCCCACAACCAATGCACCCTGCCACCAGGTCTCCTCAAAAGTGGGCTTTGATAAGAGGAGTTCAGAAGCAAGAACAGGGTCCAGAGAGGCTGCCCCCCAAACAAGCTGTGGCCAGGGCTTTCGACTTGGCCAGTGACTCTTGTGTTTGGTTCCTGGAAGAGAGGAACCAACCAAGGGCTTGCTTTTGTGGACATTGCTGGGCAGGGTGGGTGGGGGGTGGGGGGAGATTTCCATAGGGCATCTGGGATGAGACCGTCCTGGTCCCTGTTTTGAAAGCCTTGTGTCCGTGGCTGTCTTTCCTTCCACCACCATGCATGGCCTCACTCCCATTTCTTACTTCCAGGAAAGAAGAAATCCAAATTTAAAGTCTTCAAAGGGTTTTTTGGCAAAAAGAAGAAGAAAGACGCCGACGGCACCCCGACAGTGAGGACAATACAACCCAGTTTGTCCAGCGGCAATCTCAGCATCTCGCTGAAGCCGATTCCTGCGGAAGAACTGCTGGCGCTAAGGTAAGCGCTGGGCCACCTGGGAAGGGAGAGCGCAAGGGACAAGCAACTGGATCTAGCTAGTCATTGCCTTATGCAGTGGTTCTCAACCTTCCTAATGCCATGACCCTTTCATGCAGTTCCTCTTTTGGTGGTGACCCCCTACCCCAATCATAAAATTATTTTCGTTGTGACTTCATCACTGTCATTTTGCTCCTGTGATGAATCGGGTGACCCCTGTGAAAGGGTCCTTCGACTCCCAAAGGGGTCTTGACCCACAGGATGAGAACCGCTGGCCTCATGGCTTGCCATTAGCTCTGCTGAAAACAGACAAGGGAGTTGGGGAAAGGGAGCCTGGAGGCAACTGGGCTTGGACTCCACTGCTGGTGTTTGAATTGCTCCTAAAGGAGCCCTAGGGGTGTCCTGGGGGGCTTATTGGGCTGCTAGCTTCCAAGGAAGCAATTCCAACCCACTAGACTATCTGCCTCCTTTCCTGTGCCCCTCTTGCCCTCCCTTCCTCTTCCTCCCTTTCACCCACCCTTGCTTTTTGACACCATCACTCCCTTCCTCCCGCCACCACTCCCTCCCTCCTCCCTGCCTCAATCCCTCCATCCCTGCATCCTTTGCTCTCCCCTTCCTTCCCTTTCTCCCTGGAGCTCTTTTCCCTCCCTTCCTGACTCTCTACCTTCCTCCCACTACTCATTGCTCCCTCCCTCCATCCTTGATCTCTCCTTCTGTCCATCTTTCCTTCCTTCCTTCCTTCTGCCCCTCTCTGGATCCCTTGCTCCCTCCCCCCTCCCTCACACCCACAACACCATCATTCACTCCCTCCATCAGTCTGTCCTCCCTGGCTCCCTTCCTCCCTTTCTCCCTTCCTCAGTACCTCATTCCCCCTCCCTCCTTAACTCCCTCCATCCCTTCTTCCCTCAATCCCTCTCTCCCAGGAGGGGATATTAGAACTGATTGTGATCATGTGTATACAACTCTTTAAAAAAGTGATCTAACTATGGAAGTTCATGGTATGTGGATACTATATCAAGAAAATGACTTTAAAAAGGAGAAGAAACCAAAGTGGACCCCTGGTGACCATGGGTGAAGGAGGGAGAGTCGTTGTGCAGGGGCCTTGAGTTCATGTCAATGGCGGTGGAATCTTTGGGAAAAGGCCACCCATAAGGGTTGTTGTGAGACACACAGCATCTCATCCATAGCCCCAAAGGAGACGTGTGGCAGTTGTGCAATGGCAGAAGGTTTTATTGTGTGCACTTTGGCCACCATTAAAAAAATAATTGCACAAATATCCATGAGTACAGGAAGAAGAAAATGTTCTAGAGTGGACTGTGGTGATGATTGTCCAACTCTTCTTGATAGGATTGAATTATTGGATTGTATGACATGTGGATGAAGTACCAATAAAACTGTTTAAGCAAATCCCTCCTCCCTTGGCTCCCTCCCTCCCACTCCCTGCCTCCATCCCTCTCCTGCTCTACCCTGATCCCCCCTCACTCCTTCTCTCTCCCTTGTTCCCCCAAACCCTCCTTTCCTCTTCCTCATTCTCTTGCCCCCTTTTCTACTCCCTCCTTCCTCCTCCTTCCCTTTTACCCACCATGCCTCCCTCCCTTCCTCCTTCCCTCACTCGTTCTCTTCCTTGCTCTGTGCCTCCATCCTTCCATCACTCTTCCCTCCTTCCTTCTCCCCTTGTCTCCTTCCCTTTCACTCACCCCCTCCTTCCTTTCCCCCTTCTCCCCTCTTCATCTATCCCAATCCCTCCCTTCTTCCCCTATTCCCTCCCACAGTCTCTCCTTTATTACCTCTTTCCAATTTGCTTCATCTACCCCGCTCCCTCCATTCTTCACACCTTCCCTCCCTCCCCTATGGCTAGCTCTATCTATCCCTCCCTCCCTCTCTCCTTCTCTCTCTTTCCCCCCTCTCCCTCCTCTTCCCCCTCTCTCCTGCCTCTCTCCCGCTTCTGCCCACAGATTTCCCTCCCTTTGACCGCTCTCCACACCTCTCTTCCCCCATCTCCCTCCCTCTCTACCCCTCCCTCCACACCTCTCTCCCTCCCCTACCTCCTTGCTTGCCTCCTTCATCAGTTTTCCCTTCTACCCTCCCTCAATCTTTCCCTGCAGACCTCACTCCCTCCTCCCTCCTCCTTCATTAAAAAATCATTTTATTGGGGGCTCATACAACTCTTATCACAATCCATCCATCCATCCATCCATTGTGTCAAGCTCATTTGTACATGTGCTGCCATCATCATTATTAAGACATTTGCTTTCTACTTGAGCCGTTGGTATTAGCTCCTCATTTTCCCCGCCCTCTCTCCCTCATAAACCCTTGATCATTTATAAATTATTATTATTTTATCATGTCTTACACTGTCTGACGTCTCCCTTCACCCACTTTTCTGGTTTTCATCCCCCAGCCCCCTCCTTCATTTCATCCTTCTTTTCGTCCCTTGCTCCAGCCCTCCTGCACTCTCACTCCCTCACTAACTCCCTCCACCCTTCCTTTTTCCAATCTTTCCCCATCGTCCCTTGTTCTGTCCCTTCTCTCCTCTCTTCCTCACTGCTTTGTCCCACCCTCCATGTTTCACTCCCTCCCTCCCTTTCTCACGCTGTCGCCCCTTGCTCACTCCCTCCTTCACTCATTTTTTCCCGTTATCTCTCTCTTGGTCTTTCCTTCTCTCCAGTCTTCCCTCCACAATCTCCCTCGCTCTCTCTCTGGCCCTCTTACTTTTTAGATAACTCTCTCACTCACTACTACATCCCCCTCCTTTCCTGGAACCTTCCTCCTCTATCTCCAGGCCTGCTTTTGCAATCTTCCTCCCTCCAGTGCTCCCTCTGCCGCCATCGCTCCCTCCTTCCTTCCCTCCCTACCCCCCACACCACCTTTCCTGGCTCCTTTCTGCCACCTTTACTCCTTCACACTCTGCCTTCCTCCCTCCATCTCTCCCTCCCTCCCCTTTTCCTTCCCCGTTTTCCTCTTTCCCTCCCTT